CCATGCTACTCGGAGTATCCCTTATCGACGCGGAAGTAGACTCAGATTGATTACATAGCAACCAGCTATGGATGGTGAGGATGAGCGAAAAACTTGCTCGCATCTGCCTGCACTGCTTTGTGTGAATTTTAACGGTTGTTGCAAACAGCTTGCTATTGTCGAGCTTTCTGACCCAGCCGTGCTGATCGAATACTAAAAGGAGTTGATAATGGGATGATGGTGGAACAGGGGTACATTTGCTTTCACCAACTTGCTTTGAACTTTATGGTCCGAGCCCCACCACCGCAGCTTTACTGTTGAATACTACGTCTAACCAAACTGGGTCTTATGTGGTTTGCCACTCAAAGTCCCGAGGCTTAGGTTACCGGTTTCCATCACTGAGATCTTCGTGACTATGGAATCTGTTCCGTCTGTTGTTTGTTCCACAAACATGTGTAATAAAAAGTGAGCCCAAAACCCGATGGACTCAGTTGTAGTCTAACCCAGCGAGCTGCAAGACACTGGGTTTCTACTGGTTCTCTCAAACGTCTTGAAATGCGTCGGGCAATCCCAGTGGACAAGTGCACTGGTCAGCGCCACTTTCGGAGTGGGAACTCACAAGGAACTTAAGGGATGATCGAGAAACGTAGTTGACGCTAGGCGCAAAGGAAATCGAGTCAACTGGAACTGCTGGGAATACCCGATAACTGCTCCAACTCATCTATGCTACTGGCCTCAGAAGACAGTCAGAGAAAAAATTTGTAAAGTTAACGGCACGCCAACATATAGTGCTCATCGACGTTTGGAACGCTGGGTAGCGCATTTCACATCGCGATTTAACCGCCCTCCCACGCGGAATACCCCAAGTAATTATCTTGAAAGTGCGCCCGGTTACTATTCACGCCACCGTCTCTAAATGCGGAAATCCGAAAAGGTATCAAGTGCCTGAGCCAGACAACCGATCGCAGGTCCATTTCAAAGACAGTGGAGAGTGAGAGTGGCAGAATGTTTCAAAGACCTAAGAATAAATTGTATCCACTGCGTGGGGAGATTGCTAAGCCCATCTTCAAGAAGGATCACCGCAATGTTTGTTCAAATCAAAGAGGAACAAATTTGACTCCAACAGTGCCAGAAAAGTTGAGTATTATTGTGTCGATGAACT